ACCCTGTGGAGACGGAGGCGGTCGTGCAGATGGTGGGGGCCACCCGTGTGAACTGAGGGTGGGAGGAAGAACTGAGGAGCTGCGGTCCCGGCGGTGGCCAGAAGGGGACAGGCGGAAAAAGGGCTGGGAAGCGAGCGCAGGCTGGAGCGGTAGCAGAAGCCCCGAGGAGAGAGGTGTCAGTCAGGTAGAGCCCCCTGCTCCTGTCGCCTCAGCGCTTTCCCTGCTCAGCGGCCGTGGCTGAGGGACGCGGCTTCTCCATGTCGGACAATCAAAGCTGGAACTCCTCCGGCTCCGAAGAGGACCCCGAGACCGAGTCTGGGCCGCCTGTTGAGCTCTGCGGAGTCCTCAGCAAGGTAAGCAGCCGCCGGGCTCTCAGGATTTATTTATTTATTTTTGGGGGGAGCGTCGTCTCTCTGCTCCCCCCCCCCTCCCTTTACCTGAGTTACTGCGGAGGCGGGAAGCGAGCGGTGCCTTTTCCGCCACCGTCGTTGGGGTTCGTGTGGAGGAGGGAAGGGGGGGAGGCGGCGTCGAGAGAAGCGCCTGTGGCTTCCCTCTGCAAAGGGGCAGCGACTGTGGGAGCCTGGTGCTGAGGAGTCTCTCGATAGCGAGGAGCCAGGTAGTCCTAGCTGCACACTGCCCTGATTGGGGGGGAGGTGGCGGTTTACCAGCCTGACTTCCTCCCCAGTTAGCGGGAGATCCCCGCAGCTCTCCTCCTCCTCGGCTGCACAGTCTTAAGAGAGCGAAGCAGCGCCTTCTCTAAGCCGCCGCATTCCGGGAAGGCACTGCTGGGAGACGTTTTGGCGTGTGGGGGGGACAGATTCACTTCGCTTTGAAGGGAAGCTTTCGTCGTCCCCTTGCCGAGTGGAAGGAGACAGCCTGCCTGGGGATATTACTTTCCAGAGAGCCCACCCACCATATCCTTCCCGCGGTGGTCTTAAGGAACTTGTTAAAATACCCTTCCTGCTCCTTGGGTTCCCTTCCCCTCCCTGTTTGATGCAATGAAGGAAAAGATCAATCCATTCATCAGGTTCTTCGCAAGAGCCTGGTAATCCTATCCCAGACTGCACTTGTAAGCACAGCTCAGCTGAGTAATGATACGGCCCCGGATAAGGGACGCTCGCTTCCACTCTTTGAATCTGCATGAAGGCTAACTTCGGCCTGGGCCTTGGAAGCGAAAGTGTCCATGTTATTTTTTCTTCTCTTCCCCCCCCCTTTAAGGAAATAGAATCACGTGACGTGCACGCATAATGCATAATTGTAACATCAGAAAGGAGTGGCTCTTGACCTTTGCTCTAAACGTCAAAACAGTTTAATAAAATAGACCTGCTGCAGGACAACTGAGTGTTGGGGGGGATGAAGAAGAAAGAAACTGTATCTGTGATCGGAAGCCTTTTCTTTAAGGTGTCAGTATTTGTATGCTTTGTCTCTGTTAACATTTGTTCTGTTAAACATGTGTAGTATTGCATGAGATTACTTTAATAAAGCTCACCCCCATCAAGTAAAGGGTCAAGCTCAGGTAGACTTAACTAAAGGTAGTTTGAAAACCTAGGTGACTGCTGTAGCATTACAAAGTAATTCTACTACAAGTATGTGTACATACCGAATCATCTTTCATGATCATGCCTGTGTTTCTGAGTCCTCTGTCTACTGAAGCAAACAATGCAAGCAAAAGTCATGGGATTCTTAACTCACGGAACATGCTTTTGCTGGCAGAACAGTTGTTGTGTAGTTGGTGTTCATGATGTTGTGTGGAATTTGCATGCAGTCTACAAACTGCCAGCCCTTTTCTGTGTTAGAAGATGGAATATTATAAACGAGGACTTTGAACTGGATGACTATTTAAATTATGATTTAAATCACTAGTCAGTAAGACTCTATTTAAATCATGGTTTTCTACATAAAGACTAGTTCTTGCTGGTATAATCTTAATATTTCAACCAGATGAAGGTTTCATTTTTAGAATAACAACCTTTCACATTTTTACAGTTATATCAAAAAAATACTGATTTGGTTATACTATTAGAAACACATCATAGATAATTATGAAATTATTGTGAGGTGAATTATCTCCAGTTTAATAGGTTGTTGTTGTTCAGTCGCACAGTCGAGTCCGACTCTTCGCGACCCCATGGACCAGCTCCCGCCAGGCCTTCCGGTCTTCCGCCGTCCTCTGAAGTTTGCTCAATTTCATGTTCGTTGCATCTATGACACTGTCTAACCATCTCATCCTTTGCCGTCCCCATCTTCTTTGACCTTCAATCTTTCCCAGCATCAGGGTCTTCTCCAGTGAGTGCTCCCTTCTCATTTGGTGGCCAAAGTATTTGAGCTTCAGTTTCATTATCTGGCCTTCCAGGGAATAGTCAGGGTTGATTTCTTTTAGGATTGACTGATTTGTTCTTCTTGCAGTCCAAGGGACTCTCAAGAGTCTTCTCCAGCACCATAGTGCAAAAGAATCTATTCTTCGGCGCTCAGCTTTCCTTATAGTCCAACTCTCGCAGCCATACATGACTACTGGGAATATCATTGCTTTGACCATGCGGACTTTTGTTGGCAGGGTGATGTCTCTACTTTTTATCATGCTGTTTAATAGGTTAGCCATTCATATTTGGACAACTTTTCTGCTGTACTTCATTGGAAGGAGAAAAAATATTACCTTAAAATATAAATAGTTTTATTTAACTAAAACAATAGCATTATAGCACATGTATTTTTTTATTTGCTTAAACATCCATGTTTGTTAACTAATGTGGTTAAATAAAATATACTTTAAAAAAAACTCACCCCGGTCCACACATGAAAAACTTAAAATACTGTCCTCTGTAGCTTAGTCATCTTCATCTTCTTGTTCATAATCTGGAAAAGAAAAACAAGCTTTCCTGCTTTATCGGGTCACAAATGATTTTTCAATTTAGAATGAATGAGTCTAAAGGAAGAGAATATTCTTTCTACGCCAGCAGAAGAAGCTACTGCTGTCAAAAGTGAAATCTTTACTTCCAGTCTCTAAATCCTAGTGCTTAAGTAACTTTCACCAGATCACTGGTGTGACTTTTTTTAAAGCAACAGCAGCAAACATATATTTCTTGAATGGTTCCCCCTTAGCTCTAAAGTTTTTATAGCTGGCATTACAGATGGATGATTGCTGGATACCCATGTACGGCTTCAAAAGGGAATTAGATAAGCATACGGAGCAGAGGTCCATCAGTGGCTATTAGCTACAAGGTATAGTTAGGGACTCTGGGGCAAGTGATGCTCTGTCATCTTGGTGCTTGGGGGGGTCAACAGTGGGAGGGCTTCTAATGTCCTGGCCCCACTGGTGGACCTCCTGGTGGCACTAGTATTTCTGGCCACTGTGTGACACAGAGTGTTGGACTGGATGGGCCTTTGGCCTGATCCAACATTGGCATCTCTTATGTTCTTATGTCAAGCTTATGCCTCTTCCTCAGCACTTAAGGTTTAACCCTGGTCCCGGATATTGACAATATTTGCATGAAAATGGGCTGGACACAGTATTCCCATTTGTTTTTTTTAAAGCTTGTAATTTAATTGTGTCAGTGTGTACTTCTGTTTTTAAGTGGTTACTCAGTTCCTTCCAATTTCAACAGGATCAGCAATAAAACAGCTATTTTTCCGTATTTTGTTTAAAGCTTCAGAAATGGGTTTCAGGATGCTCAGCATATGTTCATCATTTCTCTTAAGCCCGATGTTTTGAGGATCTGGGCCATGACAGTATTTTCTCTCAATTTTGTTCACAAACTGTCATCAGGATAGGCCAGTTCTTGATATACTGCTCAAAACAGTCCACTACAGAGTTCCAGCTAACATCTTGTGGGAGTGTTAGCTTGGTTTCACATATTCTTTTCAGAGCTCCTGCTGCAACATGATTGTTACGGAAGTATTTAGCAATTTCAATGACATTAGTCTTTGGCTAGGAGGTGCAGCAAATGAGCACTGCAATCATATGTTATTAGTTTTTGTATTCCCTTCCTTCTCTTCTAAATTTCTTCTCATCTTGGATACATTTGCAGCATTGTCTGTGACCAAGCTGCATATTACACATTTGAATTTTTGTTCAAATGTTATAGATTTTGCTGCCACGTCTTGTAAGTATTCCGCTGTGTGTGCATTTCCTGACATATCAGTTGTTTCTGCAAGGAAACATTCCATTCTTCTGCTGTTATACAAGCACATACAACAGGATCATTGTGGGCATTACTCCACCCATCAAGACTTAGGGTAACAATTCTACCCTCTAGAGCTGTGTTCCACATTGCTCCATTTCTCTGTCATACACTTTATCCAGCGGATTCCCTGCAACATCTGCCCTGCTGGGTGGACTGTATCCTGGTCTCAGTGACTGAACCATATTAATGAAGTGTGGGTTTTCAATCAGACAGAAAGAAGAGTTTATCACATAAACAAACTGGGCATTTTTTTCATCAGTTAATTCTTTTTCTAATCTGCTGGTTTTTATCAAAAACTTATCTATGGTAGTTCCTGGATGTTCGGCTTTTTTCTTTCTTTTAGGTGATATATTGTGGATGTGTGATGTATATGATGTGACTGAAACACTGTCCTGGACAGCAAACTTTGAAACTGTAGAACAGTAGGATGGTGATCTCGAAGGTGGATAATTTCCAGAATCCTTTATGTTGATGATGGCTTCCCCTAAACAAAAAAAGTCAATACTTTATTTTATTGTTTATATCATTTCTGCTTATTTAGTATTACTCATTATACTCATTGCCACTCAGTACTGCACAAAAAAGGAATATTTGCTTGTTTCAACTCTTTAGTTCTTCATAACAACTCTGTCAAAGTAACAGTAACATGCAGTAGTAATAATAACAAATACATTTTTGCTCTAACATGACAGTTTCTCAAGGCAGTCTTTAAGAAATATGCAGGGGTGGGAAATGGTCAGTAAAATCAGTAGTAAGTTTTTTCATCTTGGTCAGTAATTTGTCAGTTTTTTAAAAAATTGGTCAGTAAAGTCAGTATTTCTTTGATTTTTGTGAATGCAGATTGTGGGTTTTTTTGTTTTCATTACTGCGTTTTGGGGAAAACATGATGACTTCCCAGTGAGAAAACAGAGTGTTTTTAGTTCAGTTATTAAGTACTTTAGACTTTGTTCCTAAGAGTAGAAGTGATTTGGTGAAATCTTCCACAACATATAGAAACATAATTAACCTCTTAAAACATGAGACAATGAAAGCAGAGGTGATTTTTTTTGCACGAGTGTCCGCTTGTTTACAAAGTTCCAGAAAGAAGAGCCTTTGGTGCAGGTGATACACAGTGAACTAAGAACACTCACAAGAACCGTAATGAATCGTGTTTGTAAGAGTTCAGCACCATT